AATGTATACAACTCATTGTATCCTCTAATTTATTCAATTAGTTGTATAATCTAATTTACGTAACTCATTGTATCCTCTAATGTATACAACTCATTGTATCCTCTAATTTATACAACTCATTGTATCCTTTAATGTATACAACTCATTGTACCCTCTAATTTATACAACTCATTGTATCCTCTAATGTATACAACTCATTGTATCAACTCATTGTATGTATACAACTCCTTGTATCCTCTAATGTATACAATTCATTGTATCCTCTAATTTATTCAATTAGTTGTATAATCTAATTTACATAACTCATTTTATCCTCTAATTCATTCAATTAGTTGTTTAATCTAATTTACATAGCTCATTGTATCCTCTAATGTATACAACTCATTGTATCCTCTAATGTATACAACTCATTGTATCCTCTAATTTATTCAATTAGTTGTATAATCTAATTTACATAACTCATTGTATCCTCTAATTTATACAACCCATTGTATCCTCTAATGTATACAACTCCTTGTATCCTCTAATTTATACAACTCATTGTATCCTCTAATGTATACAACCCATTGTATCCTCTAATTTATACAACTCATTGTATCCTCTAATTTATACAACTCGGAACTCTTTTAGATGAACGCTATAGGTTATACTGACCACATGTCATGTAAGACAGTAAAACACTTCTCATTAGCTGCTGTTTGTAGCCAAGAGTATAACGTAAATATTTTTGTATTGCTAGTACAACCACGTCCATTGTTGGGATAGTGATTGGTAGTCTCTCAGGCGTTGGCATTTTTATCGCCCTCATCGTCTGTTGCTGCTGCGCGTGCTGTCGCAGTACAAGCTCCAGGACGGGCAGTCAGGTGATGACCAATAGATCTGCGGTTGGTGCAGGGACAACTGTCGTCACGACACGTAAGTCACATGGACCAATTCAAATACATTTATGCAAACAAAAACCAAAATCTGACCCTGCACTTGAGGAAAATAACTAACCTCCGATCTTTCATCTCTGAGTTTTTACCTCTGATAGACATTTGTATGGAAAACCTGAAAAAAAATTGACATCGTTTGACTTTAAAAATCTAATAAACATTTGACTCCTGACCTAAAACCTCTCAAACAACTGTTGACCTTCAACTTTTTCCGGGAAACAACTATTTCAAAACTCTACTCTAAGGACTCATCAATCGGAATCAGCCTAAAATATACCCAGAAATAATCCTGAGATTATCATAACCAATCGGAATCAGCCTAAAATATACCCAGAAATAATCCTGAGATTATCATAACCAATTGTTATTTATCGGTCATTCCGAATTCCAATATGGCCACAATGCCCACCATCTTGAAAATCTATTTTAAGGCACTCTTATTTAACTGGTGCCATTCAGCTGATGTAAGGTGGGGATACATTGTACTTGATACAGAATGTGAGATTGTTTGTGTCGTAGAAGTTTGATCGAAATACCTGTAAATAGAGGCCAGCAGTTTCTGTTCTCCCAGGAAAACAAATCATGGCGAGAAAACCTCTGTATAAAGACTGACTGTCAACAAAGTCCCCTTTCTTTGTCCCATTAAGAGGTTGTTGTAGACAACTGTTTGTGCTGGTGCGTCATGCCAAATGATTTCATGGTCTTTTTGTAATTTTTCAGAAAACCCGATAACACAACAAGCTTATTCTCAGCCACCGCCGATCCAGGCCATGCCACAGCCATATACAGGCTACAACCCAGCCTTTGTGCCGGATTCTGCACCCAATCTTGTACCAGGGACTTTACCCAATCATGGACCAGAGACTGAGCCCTTTTCCGACGTGATATTGCCCCCTCCATACGGAAACAAATACTGATTTCTCAACAAATTTCCCCTTAAAAGGATGGTTAACTTAAAGCGTATCATGATTATTATACATGTATTATTATAAAGATCATGTCTGGTCATATATTCCTAATTCTACTTTTAGTGAATTTCATTTCTTTCAAGATGCACTTTTTCGTATGAATAGATATTGGAAGTAAAACTTTAGAACAAAATTATTAAACGTTCAGTGGAAGACCAAGGAAGACACCTATATTCCATAGCAAATCTGGTAAGAAAATCACATGATAGATGTCCAATTCTGTCGTTTTCCTATTTTACAATCACATGTAGATATGATATTAGATGAGTGCTTTATAAATAATGTATAGTCCATTACTTCTATCTACATTTTATCTATAGAGGACATATTTCAGTGCGATGAACAACCTACGTTATTTACAGTTTGTGGTTATCGCTTATCGCGACTAATCCCTGAAACGTAACTAACAGGGACATCTTTCCGTCCATTGTGATGATATCGATTTTCCTATTGTTATATTTACCTGACTAGAAAATGTCCTGCTTCCCTAACTATAGCGTTGATCTGTCACAGCAATTTCCATAATTAGGGCTTTTCACCATGGCCGCTATGACGTCATAGGCCAAAATTTTCAAATGGCCAAAACTCGAAAACGGTTTATTTTACAACATTCATGCAGTGAATCATTAGGTACTTTATGGGGCTAACTTTTCTCCATTACATGTTAATAGAAAATAAGTCTTGTAACAAAAAGTTCGCTGTTGTGTAAAAGCTCACATTTTTTTTTCTCTTTTTTTTTCTTCTTTTTTTTTTTAACTAAAGATGGATGCAAAACGTTATTCCGATGAATTCGGTGTTTCTTTAGCATTTACTGTTAACAGACGCAATTTCGAAAAAAATCCTGATCTTTTAAAAATGCAGACAATTGGGTAAAACCTATTTTTTACCTATATCAGTTTCTTACATTTCGCCAAATTGATATAGGAAAAGTTTCTCTAGATGTCCTCCATCATTTAGTGACATTTTCAACTTCATAAGAAAAAACAAAATGGCCGCCATGACTTCATATCCGATTTTAACTTAAATTGCAATATCTCATCAACGCTTAAGTATACTGAATTCATCTTTGTACATATTATGTCCAATTCTAATTTAAATTGCAATATCTCATCAATTGCTGAATGTTTTGAATTCATCTTGTGATATATTATGTAAAATTACAAATAAATAACATATATCAGAAAATTTTTTTTTTTTTTTTTTTTTTTTTTGTAAAATGTCAACTTCCGTTTCTCTGTAGGGATTAAATTTGAAAATTGCAATTTTGGATAACAAATGTCTAGAGCCTTGATATTCCATATTTAGGAAGCTCTGGTCACTGACTATGATAATATAAATTACCTTGACCTACTTACAAGATCACAGGTGTCAATTATATCAAAATCTTCAAATAACATTTTCTGAAAATTTGTCAGCGTAATTTAATCAATTTCTATAGCACGTATCAACACAAGCTTGTCTTAAAATTCAATATCCGGTTCTGGATAGGGGTCTTTTGGGCAACAAACTGAAAAAAAACTTCTCAAATTCCACAATCGAATTTGAATGCTAGTGTTTATTTTGCTTGTTTCTCTTGTAAGATATTTTCATACAAATACCTGTTTTGTATGCCCTATAAGATAAGCAGTCCTGAATCATGTATTTTGCACTGAATGTTTTGAATTCGATGTATGTTTGATGAAATTCCTTATTTTGAGATACGTGTGTAGCGAGATCAAAGAGAGATCCCGGCACCCACTGCGCTTCATTGGTTCTTGATTTGTGGAATTTTTCATCTTCTTTGTTAATCTCGATTTGCTCTATCCATTTCATACTCCCCGTAGCTGTTAATAAAACTGTTACAGTTTGATCATTGTCTCTTCAGTATGACTTATTCCTATGTTGTTATGACAGATCAATTAAAATTTGGTAACATCATTAAATCAGTGAAACACTGCTTTTTGTTTTTAAAATCTCCATTAGAACATTATTAAGGACCAAGGGGAACATATGAATGAATTTTCTAACAATTTGTTTAGCAAACATTAGCAATTTAACAAATATTTTCATTTCTTATAGAGGAACTCTCAGCCCTTTTGTTTTCAATTTTATTTGAAGTTAGATGAGTTCCACTAGAGACCAAGAAACACCTTTGTTAGTATGAGATTTGAGGAAGATAACTTCGTTGTCGAAATCCAAGATGGCAGCCTATGAGACATCTTGTTTTCTGATCAGTCTCAAAATCAAAACGGCATAACCAGGAACCAAGGAGTACCTTTTTATTCTCAATTTCTCAAGAAAACACGAAAGAAAATCTTCATTGTCAAAATTCAAGATCGCAGGCTGTCAAACATGTTTATGTCTCATCAGTCTTAAAACCAAAGGAGCGCCACTAGGGACCAAGGGAAAAGATCCCTCCAGTATCTCCCAAGAAATGGTGATAGCAAAACTTCCATTGTAAAAATCTACGATGGTTGTCAGTCTCCAAATTGAAAGGGCAAAATTAGGAACCAAGGGGGTTGGGGGGGTGTCTTCACATGAATATTGATGTGACCAGTCTCATCCAGAAACAACGAATAAGAATTAAGAACGGAGGGAGGAACGGACCATGAACGCAGAATGATTTGAACAGTCTATCAGATGGTTAACGAAAAAACAAGCCTTAAAGATTTTTATTCTAATGTTTACTAAAATAAATCTATATCAGAATTTTTAAAACATTTGTATTCAAAATAAAACTCGTTACCATTAACTGGAATTTATCAATGAAATTAAGTTATTAAATGTTTACTCCGACATATAGATCCTTTATTTTATTATCTATAAAAAAGAACGCGAGTACAAATTTCACAATTGATCTAAAATCGATCGTGTTTAATGCGTTAAAAATGTATTCGTTTTTATTACGTTTTGGGTTCAACATCGAAATAACCAACTAAAACTGCGCAATTGTTGTTATTGTTGGGAAACCGTGGAGATAAACATGTCCAAGTACATATGTGTACATATGTGTATTGGACTTGCATTCCTGTATCGCCAATAGAGCTATCAGTTGAGGTCACACATAGACGGAAGATATGCCTTTGCCACCGACTGTTTAACTACCTACAGAAACAAGATGGCTTCTTACAAATCCGCCCTCATTTCTTTTGTCGTCACTTTAACAGGTGAGTACTTTCCAAACTCATTAAATAGATATCTTGATATATTATGTAAATATGAAAGTTTCTGACAGTAAGAAGTGACTACTATGTTAGCTGGATTTAGATACCGAGGGACATTTCATGGACTGGAAAATATCTACATATATTTCATTTGAGTGAAAATTTATTGAATTTTAGATTTCAAACAAAAACAAACTACGAGAACTACAGGAATTTACTCATATTGACATGTATAACCTACAAAATTAATATTTCCCCACTTTATTTAACGTTATAGTCCTTGGCCTGTGGTTCATTCGGGCTCTGGTCCGTATGTTCGGTTTACTATACGTTTTAGTAAGATCTTTTATCAGACAAATAAATATGCATACAAATAATTCACTATTTAAAGCGAAACTGTGATACAAAATTTAAACATATTTATTTGCCAAGAACATTGACAAAACAAATTGGCACAAGTTGTAACATCTCAAACTTCCGCTCCTCTATATCTAGAATAATATCCGACTCACGCTCAGAACATCATTCTCTTCAGATACATATATTTTGTTGCAGGAAAAATATAAATATATGACTGAACTCAGAATAAAAGTAATATTTGACAAGTTAGTTCAAAATTGTGGAACTCGCATATTAGTACTCACACGATTAATGAAAACAAAAAAGAAGAGAAATGAAAAACAAATTAAAAAGTATCGCAACTGTTTAGGTGTTAAACCTATCCTTATCTCAAGACGAAAATAAATATTATGATTATTTTTGTTTTATTGTATTCAATATCTGCTATCAAAACCAAAAACCAAAGCACAAAAAAACATGATATTTTTACAGTTTGATTAACAAATAGACAAAACTAAAATTGGCTCTATATCAATTAGGACTTTATAACTTGGTTAAATAAGTGTGTATGACACAATGTCTTCTTTTAAACTAACCAAGATAATATTTACAAAATTGTTGTTCTTTTAAGAATATGTTTAATAATATATGAATCCCCACGTCCCATTCGTAACGTCGAATATTTAAAACCTGTAAGGAATATAAGGTATTTATATATATATGTTTTCCTGCTCATTATTTGTGTTGTCAATTTTGTTCGCTTTACAGGAAATTATATTCGATAACACATTGTCCTCCGATCTAACGTTCTATTAATTAAAATTTTCCTCCATTTTGTTTGGTTATCTTTAACAAAACAGACACTTCCGGTTATAGATCTAAATTCCTGATAACGTTGATAAACAGTGCCCTAGTAGATATGAAAAATAGCTATTCAAAGGGTTAAAAACTACACAGTACATGTTACATGGTAGTCGATGAAATAATCTTAAAAACTGCTTGTAAGAGGAAACCATAATTCAGGAAAAAAATTACAATTTTATACATGTTATTAGAATTTTTCATATTTTATTTTCGCTTCATGAAAATTAGAAGTCTGATTCGTGAACTAAATTGATTCAAAGGGCATGTTGATAAATTATATAACAATGGCTACAATTTTAAGCAATAAACCATTGAAATTTATACTCAATAGTGATGGACATTCTTTTGACCGATTCAGTCTGTCAATCGTTACATACATAAACAATACTTTGTGTTGTATTTTATCATGATACCTTAAAAGGTCATTTTCAACATAGAATAAGATCTTGTTTGAATATTGATATTATTTACTTAAGATTATCTCAGAAAATGTACCTATACCGGGATAAACCGTAGATATGAAACACACTGAAACATGTATGTGTATATCACACATGTATTACTCATGATAGAGTGCGATTGTCTTGTGTAAATAGATGTCGCTAAGAAATCCTTGAGAATTCCCACAACGTCTTATCGCATACGTTATAGGTCCTATAAACACCAAGGCGTCGGCACGAAATTCAGTTATGGATGGTGTTATGTTTTCGAAAGGTTATTCTTTGTTCAAGTGTTTTCTTTTAACGTAGAAAATGGTATGAAATGCACTGTGATAGATATGGTGACCGTTAAAACTTAGGCATAACCATAACTAGATCTTACGGGTATAACTACTATCCGCAGATGTACAACATCACTGTATTATACGAGGGCTGATTGGTCAGTTGTCAGCCATACATTGAAGAAGTTAAGCAGGGCTTTACTTTTTCAACTTTGCTATTCACTATCTAAGGCTGTGTACCCGTTGACTGGTGTCATAAGATCAGTTTATTTTGAAGAGGTAACACTCTAAAGTAAACAAGGCAAGTGATATTTTCAAAATGGACAAAATCGTTGAAAGAGTAGTGATTCAATATTTGCAAAAGAAAGGTCTAGTACCTAGGATATCCATACTGGTATGGTAACAACACTAGGGAATGATTCCCCATCATATGCTACTGTGGAAAGGTGGATGGCAGAATTTAAATGTTGCCGGTAGAGCCTTGGAGATGATGTCCATTTTGGAAGGCATGTCACTGTTGCAACCCCAGAACTAGCCAGTAAGCCAGTAATGTCCATGATATTGTTATAGCTGATAGGCGAGTTACAGAGAGATATATAGCCAGTACAGTTGGGATTTCACAGGAAAGAGTACATTCCACCCCAGATGTCTAACAACAGTCTAAACAATGGATTTACACCGATTCAACCCTGCCAATATATAATGCACCACTTCTTGGGCAGTAATGAGAAAATATTAGACTCAAGCGCCACAGAACACTCCGTAAAGACGTGTTGTTCGACCAGGACAATGTCCTTGTTCACAAGTCTGTCATTCCCGTAGCTGCCATTAACGACTGTAGCTTTGAATTGATTTAGCATCCGCCTTATTCGCATGACCTCTCTCCATCTGGCTTTCATTTTTTCCAAATTTGGAAAGGGCCATTTCCGGTACCCACTTTCGGTCATACATGCAATGGAGGACTTTCTGGACGGTCAATTAAGATTTTCCTCTAAATTAGTCCCATAAACATCACTGGCAGAAGTGTATATAGATACTGGAGGGGATTATGTTGAAAATAATGCAGTATGTCCGCAATATTCACATCCTTAAACATGATGCTCACAGCTTATCAATCAGCTCTCGTAACTACAACTGTGGAGTTTCATTATTTTTTTTAATCATGTCCAGATATGATTCCTTCACAAGACATAACAGAAGGGGCGTGGTTAACATTACATAAGAATAAGAAGTACATGCAGTGATTTGTACACAAAATTGGTTAAAATTGTCCGACCCCCGTCCCCCTCAAAATTTTTAAGTGCACACAACTTTCTTGTTCTGTTTAATGTGTGTGTGCTTTGTTTCGTTTTTCAAAGCGTACAGAGAGTTGTTCAGTCAAGACCCTGACCACAAAACCCGATTCCTAAACCATGATGAATATGTTGTGGAAAATATGCACTACGAAGTGTGATTGTCGACAGAACATACTCTCCACACCGCGTAGACGTATATCGATTCGGAAAAATTCTGTGTGAAAACAGTCACAATTTATGTTAGTCTTGACCAGAGTACTTAGATCTAATTGATAGATAGCTGTGGCTTTGCTTAACATGTATAGTTAAAATGAAAATTCCAAATCCGTTACGTTTTTGCTAGTTGTTAGACAGAAACATACGACTTTGTTTTTAATGTACAAGTGCAAATTAGTTTGGGAGGACGCTAAGAAAGTCTTTTATATTGAAATAAGGAAAGGGAAAGGTTGAAATTAGTTGAAAAGCAACAATGAATGAGTCCGTTAACAAATGCTAGAAAAATATGCATTACCCTAAACTCCCCTTACATCAAGGGTGTAAGATACGTGAAGAAGGGATAGATCAGACGGCATATTGTGTGGCAATTTGTGTTATTTACAAAATGAACATTTTAACTTTAGCTACATAATTCAAATAAAAATTTGGCGTTTTTTTAAACAACTGAAATATTCCATGATTGTATACCAATTTTAGTCCAAACCATGAAAAAATAATTTCTATAAATCTTAGAGCTGTCCTTTTTATATACCCTTCATTTTGACGGGACGTGCTATGCTATGGCGCTCTCCATCCGTAGTAAACTTTGATTCGTCCCGATAGGTTTCCTGCATTTTTCAACTTATCTTTTTCGATCTTAGTAGTTAAACACCAGAACATGAAGTGGTGTTTTCGTTACTGACTGAAAGTAGAAAGGTAGTGTGAAGTGTAATGAATGACACAGCTGAGCAAAGTTTAATATACCAATAGCAGCTCTGTAACATTACAAATGTAACTTTTATTGTTTTATGTTAGATCGACTGAAATTCTAAGTAGTCAGCACCAATGTCAACAATGGCAGACCTACATATAAATCATTTTGAAATAGTATAGCGAATTGCTTTATGTTGCTAGTAGGGATTGTGGTTGGTCTCCATATGTAATTAACTACCTATACCATATGAGGCACCGAAAAGGCCAAATCAGTATTTGCCTGTTCTGATTTGAACATGTTTTTCTTTGTTTTTTAGTCTTTGGTTTCACTGCCGCGGACACCTGTTATTCTTCAAAGAGATATTACAGCTACATTGACAACGATATGAGATACCGGTCCGATTCCACTTACTGCTCCTACTTGACCGGCTGCTGTTCCAAATTCGGGGAATCTGCCTCCTGTTGCTCCAGTGACATATACTACTACGACGGCTACTACGATGTGATCTACTATAGCTACTCGCTGTTAGTAAAAACTAACATGTTAAAATGTATCATACCAGTCACTAACGTTACACCAGCAATCACTTACATTATACTGCTAATCACTTACATTATACTGCTAATCACTTACGTTATACTACCAATCACTTACATTATACTGCTAATCACTAACGTTACACTAGCAATTACTTACATTATACTGCTAATCACTAACGTTACACTAGCAATTACTTACATTATACTGCTAATCACTAACGTTACACTAGCAATTACTTACATTATACTGCTAATCACTTACGTTATACTACCAGTCACTTACGTTATACTAACAATCACTTACATTATACTGCTAATCACTAACGTTACACCAGCAATTACTTACATTATACTGCTAATCACTAACGTTACACCAGCAATCACTTACATTATACTGCTAATCACTAACGTTACACTAGCAATTACTTACATTATACTGCTAATCACTAACGTTACACTAGCAATTACTTACATTATACTGCTAATCACTAACGTTACACTAGCAATTACTTACATTATACTGCTAATCACTAACGTTACACTAGCAATTACTTACATTATACTGCTAATCACTAACGTTACACTAGCAATTACTTACATTATACTGCTAATCACTAACGTTACACTAGCAATTACTTACATTATACTGCTAATCACTAACGTTACACTAGCAATTACTTACATTATACTGCTAATCACTTATATTATACTATCAATCATTTACATTATACTACCAATCACTTACGTTATACTACCAGTCACCCACGTTATATTACCAATCGCTTACGTTATACTGCCAATCACTTATGTAATACTGCTAATCACTTACATGATGACGTCAATCACTTACGTCATACTGTGTAGTACCAATGAATTACTTAATAATGTTTACCATTTTTGTTATATTAATTTACTATTAAATGTGAGTATTGTGAAGTTTATAAATATATGTTCATATAAGGATGTATTTTTCATAACCAAACTGCTATACCTGTACCTCTAAAACATGACCAATAATTTCAGGGAAAATGCAAATTAAGTATTTTCTGCTACCACAGTTCGTGTTTTTAAATTATTATTTTGGTTAGAAGAAGATTTACCGGATACACGAAAACATTTCCCTCGTCTTTCATGTATCTCTGAGAGAACTAAAAGCGGGCAAGCGAACGAGCGAAATCGTAAGGTCTGTCAGGTTCACATTCCAATGCAATATTCATTACAAACAATTTGATATTCAGATTGGAAGCAAAGAAAAGTCAAATGACATTCGGACTGCAAACTAGGTCTTGTTGAACGCAACACGTTACACAGACTACACAGCATGTATGAATGTTTGTAGAACACTTCTGAACAACTGCAGTTTAATGTAACTATTTTCTGTTGCTAGTTCAACCGCAGCTATAGCCGGGATAGTGATTGGCTGTCTCTCAGGCATCGGGATTTTCATTGCCATCATCGTCTGTTGCTGCTGCGCGTGCTTTCGCAGCACGGGCCCTAGGACGGGCGGTCAGGTATTAACTCCTGTCGGTGTAGGGGCCACAGTCGTCACAACACGTAAGTCTCCGAAGCTTTGGGTTTTAGATGAGAATGGATTCAGCTTCAAGAAACATCGGACTAGAATCTCAATAATCCAAATGAAGAAAACCGTCGATCTTAAGTCTTTACCTTCTTGGAAATACATTTGATATCTGACCTTGAAACATTACAAACAAATGATTTTTGACCTTGAACACCTATGCAATAACTGATCTCTGACAACATTCGAAAATAGTTGGCAGTTTTCCATAAAAAAAATAATGTTTACCTCGATGATGTGGTTGTTTTATCTGAGACTGGAACAAGTCTTGTTCAATAATGTTCACACTAGTACAGAATAGACGTATCAATACCCTTGATAAATATCCACCCTTCCTCTTCCGAAAGCGCAAGTCAGAGGAATCGCCAATATAACAATAAATACAGGACAATCTGTATGAAGACCACCTGCCAATAGAAACCAATTTACTGCTTTCTTAGAGATTTGTATAGACATAATTGTCGGTCTTCGTTACGTTTGTATTAGTGCAGGCTTACTAACTAACGTTTTGTAATTTTCAGAACAACAAGCCTTTCCTCAGCCACCGCCGACCCAGCCATATCCAGGCTACAACCCAGCCTTTGTACCAGACTCTGCGCCCACTCCTAATGCAGGAGCTGCGCCCTTTAATAACGAGATGGCACCCCCTCCGTATGCAAACAAGTATTAATCCCTCCACACGAACAACTCACAGATCATGTTGTTTTGATGTTTTGTCAAGTTGCAGTGATCTCTAAATTGATGATTTATATGGATCTACTGCTGATCATTATGTTCAGCGGACATGTAATGGGGGACTGAAAATAATAAGACCAGTCTTCAAGCTTGATTAATGCTGAACTTGATATCCAGAACAATTACATTGTAGCACAAGATACAATAATTAACGATCTTTCAATAAGTCTTGGAAACAGGTGGCAAATTGATATTACGAATTTCCTCGGCAACGAATGTCAACATATCACATGGATTCTCCGGCGAAAGAATAGATGCTTTTATTTTATTTTATCTTTTTATCTAATAATTACTGATTTCGTCGCGATCAATTACCATATTGCGGATTTCTTCAGAAATGGCTGGAATTTCCATGCAATTTTTATTCCGGTTTTATTGTTATCCATAATGGTAATATTTTTTTTTGTTTTTGTTGAAAGACACAAACTCATAGTCTGTTTCAATACCAGCCGGTATATAACCTTTTTTTTTTAGTTTGGGTAACACGGAGTTTTCTTACTGGCATAAGAAATTAGTCTTCTATTTAACACAACCAGTAAGTAAACATTTATAAATAAACAATTCTACACGACGATTTATAAACTTCTCTGTGACATGTATTTGTTAAGTCCGTTCATTCTATGGTTTATGTCAAATCATGTACGTGTACAGTAAAGTTACAGAATATGAATTTTGTTTTTCATAAAAATTTGTATAAATATTGTACTAAAAAGTCCCTGGAATCAACACCGACAAAATGTTTTTGTTTGTTCAAGTTATATGTATGTAAATATGTATGTGTATTGGACTAAATTTGTTTTGTTTTTTATATATATTATTTCATATTGATTGGTAATCAATATTGAGGAAAATTTAGTTGTATCTATGTATACAAGCCGCGAGTTATCATTATCCCAATGATTTATGCATAGCATAATGTTTTTGCTTCGAATTTGTCTAAGAACTTTTAAATATGAAAGCAATATGAAAAATAAATTTTATGAATTCAAATTATGACAAAAATGTGCATATTGCAGATACAAATCGTATTTTTTTTAAAACACGTACGTTGTACTTCCGTTATTTATCAAATAAACTATAAATAAGTCACGTTGTAGTTTATGTAGCATTATCATGAAAAAATATTGTTGATTGTCAATTACATCTGCTGACTATGTCCACTGGAATTTACAAGCGAAATAATATTTCCAAGCATTTACACAAACTCTATTCTCGACCCCATCAGCTGTTTAGCTTATCTATACTTATCTTGTACTATATAGAGTGAAACGAAGGGCGGTAACTCTAGAATATCAGAATATCTCAAATGCATCAAAACTGACTTTAGTATAAGTATAATGATTTTGTCCTATCATAATGAGCATGCCCGGTCATACATTCCTAATTATGCTTTCATCTCTCTGTATGCAAATTTTGTTACCAAAGACATTGTTAATCTTTAGATCAGAATTGCTTCAAGAAATTCACTACTTTATAGTTATTTCAGCCAAACAATCTCTACAAACATGTCTCCTGCACTTAGTTTGATCAGTGTTATACAAAAGTATTGGTTTTGTCATCCGTATGTAGAGGATATTCAATCGTTTCCCATTTGATATCATATGTATAATTCATGAGTAGCACATCATATCTACATACATTTTAAAATAAATAGATATATTCTCTCATAAAATGAAATACATATATATGATATTAAGCGGGAAACCATTAATTTTTCTTTTTATTACATTTTTGAAGGAAAAACAAATAAAAAGCTGATCCAAATATATGGTAAAGCAGCTGTTCGAAAGAAGGTTCCGGAAATGTTAGCGCGCTCTATGACGTCAGATGGTTAGACGTAACGCTTGACAAGACGACGTCATTTTGACTAGGCTGTTTTACGTTGTGTTCTTCCATTTTAAGCTGTTCTCAACAAAGAATTGATTTCCAAAACTGTCTTTATACTAAATTAGAGAAAAACCGATATGCACACAGGAATCATTCGATGGAAATCAACTTATACAGCCTAAGCTTCATTTTCCAGCCATTTTGTATGATCGGGAATGAGGATGGGGAAGATACACTTAGGATCAGATGAATGAACATGTCATGTATACACATCGTCATCTTGAATTTTGAAAATCATTTGAAAGCTTGTTACCGATATTTCTAGAGAAGAACTGATAGGATCTTTTACAAATTTCATATTTGGTACCCCTTGGTCCTATCTGTGACCTTTCAATTTTTCGACTGGTTTTAAAAAGCTAATTGGCTGACAGGTGGCCATCTTGGATTTTAAAAATGAATATTTAATTATCGCTGTTTTATGCGACGTACGAGATGGACCTTTCTCAAATTTTATTTTTAAGTTCCCTTTTGGTCCCTTGTTATGCAGGGTTTTCTTGGTGTTTTGTATCCTTTATCTTTTTTTTCTTTCTTTTTTTTTTAATTTGGGACTGATCACAAAAAATGAATGCCAGACGACCATCTTGGACAGTTTATATTTATCATATATTTTTATTAAAGGGAATTTTCAAATTTCGTATTATTAAAAGTAAGAACAGAAAGAACAAATAATGACCAAGAAATGGTAGGCACGTAGGATCTCTCAGACACTTCTTGCATCCATTAGTCTCGTTCATACAGCCGCTCAAGGTCACAGCGTAAACAAGAGTCTAGTCATTTATCGGTCTATTATTAGCATGCAATGTATATGTATATTGAAAGTAAAAGTTATGACACAAAACTGCAGCTCAACTGTCTTGTCAGATCAGAATCCTAACCAGACGCCGTTTCGCAAAAGCTAATATCTGGAAGCACGGCAAGAATGGATTAAATTTTATTTTCCAAAAAGCAAAGAGGGCTACCAACAACATTATCTATTAGTTAGATGTTTCAGTAACGCTTGAGAAAGATAATTATGTAGAACCTGATATTTAAGGGTTTGAATTTCGGCGGACTTACTGCATTATTTTTCAGCATAATCGCCTTCAGGATCTATACATTTTAGCCAGCGATGTTTAAGGGCCTCAATGCCAAGTTCTTTTTTTGACCGCTCAGAAAGTCCTCCACTGCATGTATGACGTCATCATCTGACCGAAAGTAGGTACCGGAATTTTTTCAATTTTGGAAATAGGTGAAAGTCTGATGGAGCGAGATCAGGCGAATAAGGCGGATGCTCGATCAATTCAAAGCTACAGTCGTTAATTGCAGCCATGGCAATGGTAGACTTATGAAGAGGGACATTGTCCTGGTGGAAACAACACACTTTTAATGGGTTTCCCGTTGCACTTGAGTTTAATATTTACTCTTAACTGCCTAAGAAGTGGTGCATAATACATAAATGTGTCGTGGATTGTTTGTCTCTTTTTGCAGATTATCTTCCATCAGGATACCATCATCATGCCAGAAAACCGAGGCCATAACCTTCCCCAGGTCTTCTAGTACACAGCCTTAAGTAGTCAGGATATCCTTGCTTAACTTCTTCAATACAGGGCTTATCAATCAGCCCTCGTAGTTATACTGAGAATTTAATCATATATTTTGAGTCAGGCGGTGTCAGGAAAGAGCGAAGTTTTTATGCCATGCCAAAATGACATTCTGTTCAAATTATCAAGAAAGCAAAGCACACAGTTGTAATGTGTCTTTAAAACTTAAGCTTTGGTACAACACTTTCAGAGTCATTACCTTTCTGCCAGAAGCAAATCACACTTAGATACAAGGTACATTGTATCCATATGGTTTGCGGGGGATAGATTGCATGAATAAGAGTAAAGTTGGTTCCAAATCCAATACTCTACATACGATTTTCATTCATAATTTGCTTACCCAACATACGACATTCCTAGATCGACACACAACATTCACCTATCAGATTTTGAATGTTGTGTGAAAATTTAACTGTTAAATGTTATAGTTTGGAATACATAACAAAAGTACCCACTTCTCTCGGTGTCAAAACTGGCCAAAAAGACCTGTAAATTCGTTCAATTTCACTTTCAAATACATTGATGACGTTTCGTCTACAAATAACAAGAAATTCATTGACTACGTCCCTTGTATTTACCCACCAGAATCGGAAATCAAGGACACGCCAATCTCAAACTTTTCCTACTAAGAAACCAACAAAGACAGCTTTCCTGTGGATATGCTTGATGATTTCAACTTCCCTATCCTGAATTTTCCGTTTCTTGATAGCAACATATCAGCATTAAGGTCTTTATATGTCGCTGTTGATTCAGGTTTCAAGGGTCTACTCCCATTATCACGATTTTGAACAATCTGATGCTCGTTGGTTTGCCTGTTGTTTATACCTTGTTCTCGTTTGAGAACGTAACTTACATGGCGGGTTTCGACGGAGAAGCAAATAACGCTTACTCTTCCTAAACACCTGGTCATATTATCTTGCCTCTCAGTGTAAATCCTTTTCCTTTTGTTCATATTTTGACCAAGTTTTATTAAATTTAATATACGGTTTTGGTCGTGTTGGATGGAATGTGTGGTTGGGTGTATTGTGTGGTTTTGGTTGTGTTGGGTGCATTGTGTGGTTTTGGTTGTGTTGGGTGCATTGTGTGGTTTTGGTTGTGTTGGGTGTATTGTGTGGTTTTGGTTGTGTTGGATGGATTGTATGGTTTTGGTTGCGTTGGATGGGTTGTATATTTTTTATTATCTTTATATCGATTTAGATGTCCCTGTCTTCTGAAACTTAATTCTGGCGTAACAGTTTCAAACGTAATATATGTTGACATTTGAAATTGTTATATGGTAACTTGTATCTTTACTAAATAAATGAATGGCACCTTTTCTAGTCTTGCTTAAAAAATAACAGGAAAGCAAATTACAAGAAAAAAAAAAGACAAAAACAGTGCATCGGCCGGGAATCGAACCCGGGCCTCCCGCGTGGCAGGCGAGAATTCTACCACTGAACCACCGATGCTTCACAATAAATTGGTGAACTTAAAACATGACTCTCTTGCATTAGGTGGTGCTTGTGAAAGTAATTTCGTTGATTCAGAATCATCATTATGGTGTTAATGTACATATATGTGAATGTGTTGATGGTTTTGTGTAAGCTTGAGTTGTGAAATTCTAACCGATATATAACAGAACCAGACTAAAGTGAAAACCTTGTTGGAACTCTTTTCGGTTAGAGGGAGTAAACGTATAATGTAAACATGGACCTGTGGCAGAAAGTATTCCATATAACAATATTCCTCGTCTTGTGTAGCTGTAGCATAAGCTCAGAAGTATGCTCAAAAGATGCGAATGAATGTGAGGAAAACGAAGAAAACAAATCATGTGGTTGTTCCGTAAATCGTGACAATTCCAAATACTCAAAAAATTCCATACACGATGAGCCGCTAGAGGAAACGCAAAGTTCAAAGCTCACGCCGGCTTCAGAAACTCAGTATCCTCGAACGCATGGAATGGTTAGTATTCCAGATGGGTCATTTCAGATGGGAACGAATGAACCTGTTTTCGTTGCTGACGGAGAAGGACCGGAAAGATTAGTCAATGTTAACTCCTTCTATTTGGACAAGTACGAAGTCAGCAACGCCGAGTTTGAATTGTTTGTCAATGCCACCAATTACAAAACCGAGGTAAGTTACACTGTGCACGTGCACCGATGTCCGTTTATATGTGGGATCTACTGTAGGAGTTCGTGACAGATCTTCAATTTTAACAAGATGCTATTCTTAAAATTCTGAATATAATGTGAAACAACGATACACCAACAATCTTCATACGGTTATAGGTTCAATGATAATACTGTTTTAGTTTGATTCATACAACGCTACATTTTATGAACTGGAACAAAAAGCCTCAAAAACCTATAGAATAACCAGATTAAGCTACCTCGCCAGAAACAAATATAGTTACACTAGTAGCACACATACTAACACTTCCAAGGAGACAGTACATTTGTATATTGTGTCATCAAACAATTGCGGGTGCCAAATTTTTTCTGGGATCTCTTGCTTGTACATAACTATTGATACACAGAATGTCACTGATTTTTACATAACTATAAATATAGAGAATGTCACAGTGTTATACATAACCACTAATATACAGAATGTCACAGTATTATACATAACTACTAATATAGATAATGTCACAGTATTATATACATAACTACTAATATACAGAATGTCACAGTATTATACATAACTACTAATATAGAGAATGTCACAGTATTATATACATAACTACTAATATAGAGAATGTCACAGTATTATATACATAACTACTAATATACAGAATGTCACAATATTATATACATAACTACTAATATACAGAATGTCACAGTATTATATATATAACTACAAATATACAGAATGTCACAGTATTATACATAACTACTAATATACAGAATGTCACAGTATTATATACATAACTACTAATATACAGAATGTCACAGTATTATATACATAACTACTAATATAGAGAATGTCACAGTATTATATACATAACTACTAATATAGAGAATGTCACAGTATTATACATAACTACTAATATAGAGAATGTCACAGTATTATACATACTAAATATACAGAATGTCACAGTATTATACATAATACTAATATACAGAATGTCACAGTGTTATACATAACTACTAATATACAGAATGTCACAGTATTATACATAACTACCTAATATACAGTGTTTGTATTATACATAACTATATATAGAGAATGTCATGTATTATACATAACTACTAATATACAGAATGTCACAGTGTTATATACATAACTACTAATATACAGAATTTCACAGTATTATACATAACTACTAATATACAGAATGTCACAGTATTATACATAACTACTAATATACAGAATGTCACAGTATTATAATAACTACTAATATACAGAATGTCACAGTATTATACATAACTACTAATATACAGAATGTCACAGTATTATATATATAACTACTAATATACAGAATGTCACAGTATTATATACATAACTACTTATATACAGAATGTCACAGTATTATATATAGCTATAATCTTATGATTAGGTGCCCCTATGTTATATGTGAAAACTAAGATAAAGAATGTCATTGTGCTTTGGATGTTACAGGCAGAGACCTTTGGTAACTCATTTGTCATGGACAAATATGTGAGTGAAGAAGTCATGAAAGATATAAAACAGGCGGTAAGTAAAATTTCTGTGATTTTTCTACATACCACAATCACCATGCACACCTTTTGTGTTTGATTATGCGCCACAATGTATATATAAAAATGTATGTTGTATACAAACCAATAAAAAAAATTCAGTATATTAACCCCGGCAACTGATGTGGATTCCTCTAATGGATGTATCAAACAGACAAAGCTACATTGTACAAAATATTCACAATGAGACATCTTTGATGTAATTAGCCATTGTATAGCAACACATATATTGATTCATTTTAATACCAATGAATCTTAACAGGTGCAAGGTGCACCTTGGTGGGTGCCAGTAGATGGTGCTGACTGGAGACATCCATATGGAATTGACTCCTCCATTAAGAAGATGTAAGTATGCTTATTATGGTTTTAACCATCTGGTGAAAATACCTATTGTTATGATTCTTATTGTTATGTATGCCTGGTTGGAACTTCAAAACTGTTTATTATACATTGTTCATGCACTGCCTGTCTGTCAGTACTTTTTGTTTCTGTGTGATAACTTGAGTTTCCTTGGGCCGATCAAGCTCAAACTTCATACACTGCTTTTTGATTGAAAGCTTCTGGATTGCTTTTCAGCTTCAAAAGTCAAAGGACAAGGACACTGTTACTATAAATAGAATATCAGTTTCCATGTGAAAACAAGAGTTTTTCTTTGGACAATCTAACCCAAAGAAAGTGCTTGCTTTGGACTGCTTTACAGTCTTGAAGGTCAGAGGTCAAGGTCACTGCTATAAATAGAAAAAATAGTTTCCTTGTAATAACTCAAATTTGATTTGGACAATCAAACTTTAACCTCAAACAGTGCTTCTGGATTGCTTTTCAGCTTCAAAAGTCAAAGGACAAGGACACTGTTACTATAAATAGAATATCAGTTTCCATGTGAAAACAAGAGTTTTTCTTTGGACAATCTAACCCAAAGAAAGTGCTTGCTTTGGACTGCTTTACAGTCTTGAAGGTCAGAGGTCAAGGTCACTGCTATAAATAGAAAAAATAGTTTCCTTGTAATAACTCAAATTTGATTTGGACAATCAAACTTTAACCTCAAACAGTGCTTCTGGATTGCTTTTCAGCATCAAAGGTCAAAAGTCAAGGTCTCTTTTACTGTAAATAGAAAAATCAGTTTTTCTGCAATAATTCAACTTTGCTTTGGCCAATCAAACTCAAACCTCATACAATGCTTCCTTATTAAAATGGCTTGCTTTTCAGGTACAAGGGTCATTGTTCCAGATTCCTTATGCTCTAAATAGAAATTTGTGAAATAACTTGGGTTTCCTTGGGTCAATCAAACTCAAACTTCATACAATACTTTCTTACAGAAAGTGTTTACTTTTCAGACCCAGAAGTCAAAGGTTGATGAAATCCTTTTTGTGGAATAACTTGAGCTTGCTGGAGCCAATCTAACTCAAACTTGATATAGTATAGGGTGACAGTGTGATAAAATGCACATATTGTGGTGACTGAACCCCATGTGCTCATGGGCAGGGTCAGATGAGGTCAAATTAACATATATTTATGCTTGAAACTCAAAATTCTATACAAAAAATTCACTTTAGTTTTCCTTCCTACATTTTGAATGCAGAATGGACCATCCTGTGTTGCATGTTTCATGGAATGATGCTGTAGCATTTTGTAAATGGATGACTAAGCGTCTGCCTACAGAAGCAGAGTGGGAGTACGCCTGTCGTGGAGAAAAAGTAGGCAGGTGGGTTATTTGTTAATTTGAGGAGTATATTAACCTGTCAGGTCACAGAATAGGCGAGTATGATATGTAAGTCACCTCTGCAAAAGACATGAGATTCAACCCCTTGGGGAGATGTCACTTCCTCAGGTGTATCTAGAATCTGGTCGTAGTTGTTGTATTTAGCTTTCAATATTCTTTTGTCTTACGTGGTTAGACATCCTCCTGTTGACTTTTGCACACAACTTGAATATATATCGAATTCATACTTAAAATAAGTAAATGATATGACAAGAAAGTAGAGCAGGGGAGATAAATCCTATACATTTTATGCCAGTATGGACAAAAAATGTGTACACAATTTATTAGGAGATTCACTTTCTCTGTATGTGTTTCTTTCTCTCTCTGTTATGTTGAACTAAAACATTTGTGTAGCTGTTTTTCAAATGTATTAGTAAATATGTCTACCATCCGTGGAGAAATGAAATTTAGCAGTTATTTTCACAATTCTGATCTTCACCCATTTAGACAAAGAAGTAAAGAAGAGTAGTGAGTGATATAGTCACATTGGTCCTCGTTTTGGTTTCAATATAAGTTTATTTTTATAGATTATTCCCATGGGGAAACAACGTTAACCCAAAGAAAGAGCACTGGATGAACATTTGGCATGGCGAGTTCCCTAACTCCAACACGGCAGACGACGGTTACGAGACCACTGCACCTGTAAGTATGGAGAGTTGGCAGAATAATTGACAAGATTAATACCACAGCTCCAGTAAGTATGGTGGGTTTTCTATCTCCAACTTGGCAGAAAATGGTTATGAGACAACAGCACCTGTAAGTTTGAAGAGTTTACAAATTTTAACACCGTACAGTCCGTTTTGATATCACACCTCTAGTAATATGCAAAGTTTACAAATTCTAACACATTACAGACAGTTATGATTTACAGATCTAGTAAGTATGGAGAATATTCAAACTCTTAGACAACGATTATGAGGTCATAGCTCTAGCAAGTATCTGATCACATTTCTAAAAAAGGAGACAAGAGTGTTGAGACAGCAGCTCCAGTTAATTATTTCCTATTCCTTAACAATAACCTTCTGATTGCAGCTTCTACTGACATTACCTGTTGATTCAGATACACTTATGATCCTCCTTCTGTATCATTTTCAAGAATTCAAGGTTATCCATGTTATTTGTTTTTTCAGGTCACAGCATTTCCAGAACAAAATAAATTTGGACTGAAGAATATCATAGGCAATGCTTGGGAATGGACATCAGACTGGTGGGAAACTCAACACACATCAGAGCCTAAGGACAATCCCGTAAGTATATAACACATCAGAGCCTAAGGACAATCCTGTCAGTATACAACACACATCAGAGCCTAAGGACAATCCTGTAAGTATGCAACACACATCAGAGCCTAAGGACAATCCTGTAAGTGTACAGCACACGGCAGGACCCTAGGACAATCCTGTAAGTATACAACACACAGCAGAACCCAAGGACAATCTTGTAAGTATACAACACACAGCAGAACCCAAGGACAATCCTGTAAGGATACAACACACATCAGAGCCTAAGGACAATCTTGTAAGTATACAACACACAGCAGAACCCAAGGACAATCCTGTAAGTATACAACACACAGCAGAACCCAAGGACAATCCTGTAAGGATACAACACACAGCAGAACCCGAGGACAATCCTGTAAGTATGCAACACACATCAGAGCCTAAGGACAATCCTGTAAGTATACAACACACATCAGAGCCTAAGGACAATCCTGTAAGTATATGACACACATCAGAGCCTAAGGACAATCCTGTAAGGATACAACACACAGCAGAACCCAAGGACAATCCTGTAAGTATGCAACACACATCAGAGCCTAAGGACAATCCTGTAAGTATACAACACACATCAGAGCCTAAGGACAATCCTGTAAGTATACAACACACAGCAGAACCCAAGGACAATCCTGTAAGTATACAACACACATCAGAACCCAAGGACAATCCTGTAAGGATACAACACACAGCAGAACCCAAGGACAATCCTGTAAGTATACAACACACAGCAGAACCCAAGGACAATCCTGTAAGTATGCAACACACATCAGAGCCTAAGGACAATCCTGTAAGTATACAACTCACATCAGAGCTTAAGGACAATCCTGTAAGGATACAACACACAGCAGAACCCAAGGACAATCCTGTAAGTATGCAACACACATCAGAGCCTAAGGACAATCCTGTAAGTATACGACACACATCAGAGCCTAAGGACAATCCTGTAAGTGTACAGCACACGGCAGGACCCAAGGACAATCCTGTAAGTATACAACACACAGCAGAACCCAAGGACAATCCTGTAAGTATACAACACACAGCAGGACCCAAGGACAATCCTGTAAGTATACAACACACATCAGGACCCAAGGACAATCCTGTAAGTATAACACACAGCAGGACCCAAGGACAACACACAGCAGGACCCAAGGACAATCCTTTAAGTATATACTGGACACAAAACCTGGACCCAAGGACAATCCTGTTTACTGGAATAGTAACAAAACATATCAGAGTGAGATAGAGGACTGTTTTACTGAATAGTCCTAAACAAAACCTGGAGCCCTTGGGTGGGACAGATGTTTTACTGGAATAGTCCTAAACAAAACCTGGAGCCCTTGGGTGGGACAGATGTTTTACTGGAATAGTCTAAAACAAAACCTGGAGCCCTTGGGTGGGACAGATGTTTTACTGGAATAGTCCTAAACAAAACCTGGAGCCCTTGGTTGGGACAGATGTTTTACTGGAATAGTCCTAAACAAAACCTGGAGCCCATGGGTGGGACAGATGTTTTACTGGAATAGTCTAAAACAAAACCTGATATCCTAGGGTGAGATAGATGTTTTACTGGAATAGTCCTAAACAAAACATGGAGCCCTGGGGTGGGACAGATGTTTTACTGGAATAGTCTAAAACAAAACCTGATATCCTAGGGTGAGATAGATGTTTTACTGGAATAGTCCTAAACAAAACCTGGAGCCCTTGGGTGGGACAGATGTTTTACTGGAATAGTCCTGAACAAAACCTGGAGCCCTGAGGTGGGATAGATGTTTTACTGGAATAGTCTAAAACAAAACCTGATATCCTAGGGTGAGATAGATGTTTTACTGGAATAGTCCTAAACAAAACCTGGAGTCCTTTATTGGGATAGATGTTTTACTGGAATAGTCTAAAACAAAACCTGATTTTCTATCTTATATAGGCTCCTTTAGGACACTGACAGTCTGTTCTGTCTTATAAAGGCTCCTATACGACACTACACACTGACAATCTGTTCTGTCTTTTAAAGGCTCCTATACGACACTACACACTGACAGTCTGTTCTGTCTTATAAAGGCTCCTATATGACACTACACACTGACAGTCTGTTTTCTTTCTTATAAAGGCTCCTATACAACATTGTACACTGACAGTCTGTTCTGTCTTATAAAGGCTCCTATACGGCACTTCAAACTGACAGTCTGTTCTGTCTTATAAAGGCTCCTATACGACACTTCACACTGACAGTCTGTTCTGTCTTATAAAGGCTCCTACACGACACTACACACTGACAGTCTGTTCTGTCTTATAAAGGTTCCTACACGACACTACACACTGACAGTCTGTTCTGTCTTATAAAGGCTCCTACACGACACTACACACTGACAGTCTGTTCTGTCTTATAAAGGCTCCTATACGATTCTACACACTGACAGTCTGTTCTGTCTTATAAAGGCTCCTTTACGACACTACACACTGACAGTCTGTTCTGTCTTATAAAGGTTCCTATACGACACTACACACTGACAGTCTGTTTTCTTTCTTATAAAGGCTCCTATACAACATTGTACACTGACAGTCTGTTCTGTCTTATAAAGGCTCCTATACGGCACTTCAAACTGACAGTCTGTTCTGTCTTATAAAGGCTCCTATACGGCACTTCAAACTGACAGTCTGTTCTGTCTTATAAAGGCTCCTATACGACACTACACACTGACAGTCTGTTCTGTCTTATAAAGGTTCCTATACGACACTACACACTGACAGTCTGTTTTCTTTATTATAAAGGCTCCTATACAATATTGTACACTGACAGTCTGTTCTGTCTAATAAAGGCTCCTATACGGCACTTCAAACTGACAGTCTGTTCTGTCTTATAAAGGCTCCTATACGGCACTTCAAACTGACAGTCTGTTCTGTCTTATAAAGGTTCCTATACGACACTACACACTGACAGTCTGTTTTCTTTCTTATAAAGGCTCCTATACAACATTGTACACTGACAGTCTGTTCTGTCTTATAAAGGCTCCTATACGGCACTTCAAACTGACAGTCTGTTCTGTCTTATAAAGGCTCCTATACGACACTACACACTGACAGTCTGTTCTGTCTTATAAAGGTTCCTATACGACACTACACACTGACAGTCTGTTTTCTTTCTTATAAAGGCTCCTATACAACATTGTACACTGACAGTCTGTTCTGTCTTATAAAGGCTCCTATACGGCACTTCAAACTGACAGTCTGTTCTGTCTTATAAAGGCTCCTATACGACACTTCAAACTGACAGTCTGTTCTGTCTTATAAAGGCTCCTACACGACACTACACACTGACAGTCTGTTCTGTCTTATAAAGGCTCCTATACGACACTACACACTGACAGTCTGTTCTGTCTTATAAAGGCTCCTACACGACACTACACACTGACAGTCTGTTCTGTCTTATAAAGGCTCCTATACAACACTACACACTGACAGTCTGTTCTGTCTTATAAAGGTTCTTATACGACACTACACACTGACAGTCTGTTCTGTCTTATAAAGGCTCCTATACAACACTGCACACTGGCAGTCTGTTCTGTCTTATAAAGGCTCCTACACGACACTACACACTGACAGTCTGTTCTGTCTTATAAAGGCTCCTACATGACACTACACACTGGCAGTCTGTTCTGTCTTATAAAGGCTCCTACACGACACTACACACTGACAGTCTGTTCTGTCTTATAAAGGCTCCTACACGACACTACACACTGACAGTCTGTTCTGTCTTATAAAGGCTCCTACACGACACTACACACTGACAGTCTGTTCTGTCTTATAAAGGCTCCTATACGACACTACACACTGACAGTCTGTTCTGTCTTATAAAGGTTCCTATACGACACTACACACTGACACTTCACACTGACAGTCTGTTCTGTCTTATAAAGGCTCCTATACAACATTGTACACTGACAGTCTGTTCTGTCTTATAAAGGTTCCTATACGACACTACACACTGACAGTCTGTTTTCTTTCTTATAAAGGCTCCTATACAATATTGTACACTGACAGTCTGTTCTGTCTTATAAAGGCTCCTATACGGCACTTCAAACTGACAGTCTGTTCTGTCTTATAAAGGCTCCTATACGGCACTTCAAACTGACAGTCTGTTCTGTCTTATAAAGGTTCCTATACGACACTACACACTGACAGTCTGTTTTCTTTCTTATAAAGGCTCCTATACAACATTGTACACTGACAGTCTGTTCTGTCTTATAAAGGCTCCTATACGGCACTTCAAACTGACAGTCTGTTCTGTCTTATAAAGGCTCCTATACGACACTACACACTGACAGTCTGTTCTGTCTTATAAAGGTTCCTATACGACACTACACACTGACAGTCTGTTTTCTTTCTTATAAAGGCTCCTATACAACATTGTACACTGACAGTCTGTTCTGTCTTACACACTTCAAACTGACAGTCTGTTCTGTCTTATAAAGGCTCCTATACGACACTTCAAACTGACAGTCTGTTCTGTCTTATAAAGGCTCCTACACGACACTACACACTGACAGTCTGTTCTGTCTTATAAAGGCTCCTATACGACACTACACACTGACAGTCTGTTCTGTCTTATAAAGGCTCCTACACGACACTACACACTGACAGTCTGTTCTGTCTTATAAAGGCTCCTATACAACACTACACACTGACAGTCTGTTCTGTCTTATAAAGGTTCTTATACGACACTACACACTGACAGTCTGTTCTGTCTTATAAAGGCTCCTATACAACACTGCACACTGGCAGTCTGTTCTGTCTTATAAAGGCTCCTACACGACACTACACACTGACAGTCTGTTCTGTCTTATAAAGGCTCCTACATGACACTACACACTGGCAGTCTGTTCTGTCTTATAAAGGCTCCTACACGACACTACACACTGACAGTCTGTTCTGTCTTATAAAGGCTCCTACACGACACTACACACTGACAGTCTGTTCTGTCTTATAAAGGCTCCTACACGACACTACACACTGACAGTCTGTTCTGTCTTATAAAGGTTCCTACACGACACTACACACTGACAGTCTGTTCTGTCTTATAAAGGCTCCTATATGGCACTACACACTGACAGTCTGTTCTGTCTTATAAAGGTTCCTATACGACACTACACACTGACAGTCTGTTCTGTCTTATAAAGGCTCCTATACGACACTACACACTGACAGTCTGTTCTGTCTTATAAAGGCTCCTATACGACACTACACACTGACAGTCTGTATGAAACTTCACACTGATAGCCTGTAAGACAATGCACAATGATAACCCGTATCACAATGAACACTTAAAGGCTGCTTTTTTTTGCGAAAGATTTTTTCTTATGAAAAAAGTATTGAAATATTGCAAAAAGAACCTGTTCTGACCTTCATATTTTTGTTACAGACGGGTCCAGCCAAAGGCCCTGACAGAGTGAAGAAAGGAGGTTCTTTTATGTGTCACGAGGTAAGACTTACAGTAGTAGTCGGGATTTTGATAAACAAAATAAATCACAGATGTATGATATATCTATTTGTCCTCTTGTTGTGTCATGGTGTTAAGAAATTTTTATGGACTTGCTGTTGTTTCAGACCTACTGCTACAGATACCGCTGTGCAGCCAGAAGTCAGAATACACCCGATAGCTCTTCTGTCAACCTTGGCTTCCGATGTGCAAGTAATAAACTACCAAAATACCTACAGAGAGATGAACTTTAAGATTGTGCTTTTTCATTTGTAAATTTAATATCATTAAGTGTGGAATCATAACATGTATGCTTTAAGGAGAATGATTGAGTAATAGTTAGACATCAGGACAACAATTACCATTGCTGCTGTGTAATATTGATGAATAGGATCTGAAATGAGTTCTCATTACATATGATGTTTTATGGAGCGAGTCTTTACAAAAGTTTTTATTTTTGTAAACTTAGTGAGCAAAACTTATAATTTGGAGACAAGTTTTATAAGACCTCCTACTAAATGAAAGCAAAGTTAAGATACTTTTTATCACATACCTCAGAAAAGTGACATTTTGACAAAGTATAAAGTAAAAATGATCATTTTTCAATTCATGAAGTAATATCATTGTCCATTTGAAGACTGGTGCAACCAATGAAAAATGCTCAAGGGTATATTACACATGTGACATATACAAAGAAATACTCCATGGGTGATCCAATTTGCTGGATAATGGGTAGATTATATGATAAATACAGCAAAAGTAATTTCAATAATTAACTACAAGTATTAAGTATTACTGTGAGTCAAGCAATGAGATTGTGTGTAATTTGAAATTTAATTGGTAATATATTGATGAAAAATCAAACATGAAAGCTTGCAAACTAGAAATGAATCACAATTAGAATACATCCAAATATTGTCAAATACAACTAAATATTGTCGAAGTAAACGACATTAAAAGAATTATTAACAACTTTTTAATATGCTTGTATGTAGGAAAGGAATATTCAATCTTAAATCATAAGAAGTGGTATAACTTGAGCCTCAGCTGATGGTTTTACCACATTTTTAGAACTCATTAATTCATTTATCAATGATAATGTTAGACAATCAACAAGGTTAAGTCTTTTTGATGTAGTCTGCACACAATGTACATACAGTATAGTATGCTGTTTTCTTTGCTGGTCTCGTATTTCAAGGATGACAAACAACAGAGTATCAGGGAAGTGTTTGTTGTGTTAATTGATCCGTGAACAGCCAGGGACATCTCAAGTCTATTTGTAGTAGCTGGTGGCTACCTGTTTCGCAACTTCCTGAGAAATGCAAATCGCCAAGGATAGTGAGCGTCAAATCACACATCTCGTATCTTCACCTGGCATTTCATAGGCCAACTGGGCTATCTCAGCCTCTGAATCAGAGTAAATTACAGGGTAAACATATTTATATCATTAGAGAGTCATTGTATATGTACCATTGTTGTTACATAACATGTATGTCAGAGGGTATAAAAAGTACCCAGTGCTTGAAATGTGCCATATACTTGTTATACTATATGTTTCGTTTTATTTCTGTGATATTGGTGGTTCCATAATTATCCCATTTCTCTCATGTGAAAGGAGGTCACTGTGACTTGTTTGACATTTCACTGATTTCCGTAATACATTTGACATAATGCTTCAAATTTCTTTAAACATTTGCTCTTTGCGTCTGAAGTTTGTCTAGAATGAAAGGCAGAAAGCATGTTGCACTACATCTATAAAGATACTGGATTTAGTTATTCAGATATGTGAACTTTCATTTGGTTGAATTGTCTGACCTGAAATTTGTGGAGCATTTTAGATAAAAAGGACACATAAGAATTGTATGAATTGTTTTTGAAGATGTGACTTCTGGGTTTCTTCAGTTACAGTAATGGAAATACAATTAAATATTTCCAAAAATAGATGTAAATACTATTGTTTATGAATGTTACATTTTTACATTTCTTCTTTACTTGATACATATAAAAAATCACACAGCAAAACTGGAGTACTATTGGAGCTGAGCTGATAATTTGTCTATCATAATGACTGAACAACTGGTTCTGGTTATTCAAAGGCTGGTTTGTCAGAGATAGCTATTAGTTTGTGCAAATTTTAAACTTTAATTAAATGAAATTGGGAACATTCTTTATTATTTCACGGCTGTAGATTTGTCAAACCTGATCAAATTGATGTATTTTAAGTGTTAAATTTGCCTTGAACATTCCTGTTTTTTCAGTGGCAGTAATTTACCTTTTTCATTAACTTGTCAATTCTGATTTAAAAGTGTTTTGAGTAACCAGAGCTAGGTGTACTTACCAATAAACATATCATTGTACTTAGTTGTCGTGTTTTCATAAGAATTTGTTCAACTCCTGTGTTGATAATATTGATTATCTGCCTTACATTAATCAGATATCCTATACTTCTTTGGAGATTTATATATAATCAGTTTACGTTTTATTAGGTGAAAAACCAGAATGGTGCTGCTTATATAAATAAGATGCAATAAAAACAAGAAACATTAAAAAATCATTAGTGTTATTTATTGAAAAAATCAACTGATTGCTTATAACACTCCTAAACATTATCCAACCTAGTAAATCAGTTGACCTGAAGTAGGAGTGCTTTTGCCTACCATCATGAGATAGTGGGCTGTTCAAATCACTATTTGACCCTGGTCTGTCATCCATCTATCCTCCAACAGTTCATATTGAAGACCAGTCTCAGAGTTCGTATGTAGGCTCCCCCTTCAACTGGTTTCTAGTTGTACATTTTCTATTTTTTGGAATGCCATGGCTGATATGTGGCCATATTGAGTTTTGACATTTGTGGTATGTTTTGCTATTTAGGAATTTGAGGAATCCTTATCTATGTATGTACAATGTGTTTCTTTTCATGCCAGTTATAACTGATTTTCTGTGTTCAGTGCAATTAAGAGGTTACAAGAGAGAAGGTGGGAAACGATAAGATAAACACGTACAAAGAACATGTGATGGTAGGTGCCATCATCCTTCTCAAATCTCATGTTGTTTATTATATTTTCATTTAAACTATCAGCCAGTTATGCTGAACGGATTTTGTCTTAGTAGCTGCAAGTCGTTTGGAAGGTCAGAGATTTGTATACACTATTTAGATGTGCCATCTTTATGTACAGATTGGCCCCAATGAAATTTTGCTTAAAGGTATTTATTAACAGGAGCATCTTTGGGTCAAGATCTTTGGTTTAGGACAAAGTCAACATACCATAAGACTCTTTCATACGCATGTACCTGTAGGATGGGGATATTCCAGCCGAGGGTCACATACTGTGGTGAAACCTGAGGTTCTGCATTACCTTGGACACTACAGATTGAACACATCAGTGCTACCACCCACACCCAGGAGTGTGCCCTCTACAAAGCAACACCTGAACGAATACCCGGGGATTTTTAGTCTTGGGGTTTGGCCACAGCACTGCACAACAGTCTTCTGGTCTCAATGTGGAGGCAATGGAAATTTGAACTGTATGACTAAAAATTGCATTGATTCAGAGGAAGAGATAATTCATTTATGCTGCTACTGTTGGCCTTTGGGATATCCCTTAGAATAATACCACCAGAGATATTAGATAGTCGATACGTCCATAAACTGTAACCAGTTACAAACTTCAATTGTGCAGGGGTCTTGTTCCACGGGGCTTAGCTTGCTCCAAACGTTATCTGGTTAAAATCTCCTACCAATATTTCTGGGTTTCATATATATGTAATTATGCATTTTATAATATTTTATTATCCTCGTCAATAGTGGATGAATCATTGTGAAACATATACTTGGGTTGTGGCTTAGGAACTCGAAAGTAGGCCGCATATTGCATGTTTAGACCACAAGTTTTAAGAAGTCATTACGTACTGCATACACGTATGCTCACTACCTCCCATAGTGATTGTACTTAGTGTATGTAGACCTCTTGTTTGGCGATCTACGAACCCCGCTGTCCATCACAACTCTGACGACAAATGGGCTGACAGGTCCCTGTTACGTCACGGTATTATACAGTCTAGTAATTCGACTTCATATTTCATCATATTCCCGAACCTCCGCACCTCATGTCCACTTTGTGGGCCATCAAAGTAATGAGGTAGGTATTAAGATACAGAAACAAGTATAGGAACCAGAGAAACATTATCGTAATTAGCCATCTTGGGTCCGAGGATATCAAGTGATCCATGTCACGATGAACTTTACAAATGGACGAAGCGTATGTGTAATTTCTGGGCTAACTGTTCATCAGTTACGAAACTATACTATCGTGGTTCCCCAGGGGAGGATTATTCTGAAAAGCGAGGAATCAAATAACAGCCAAATATTGATTTTGTCTGATTTCATAAATAAAACATTTCGGCTTATTTTGAACATTAGATGAAAAAATACCAATTTGTATTAATTTGCAGTCTAGTAATGAAACAAAACATCATTGACAATTTTTCTCTATCAGTTTACTAGTACTGAACGCGGTCATCGGTTATAATTGTTGACACTGATCCCAACCAATATAGACTATCGCAATTCTACCGTATCGACACTGAGATGTCTTCGTGTGCTTAATCCAACATATGAGTATGGAAACAACGATGATAATGTTAACTTTTTTCTACGTTAAATGATGTTGATTTATATGAAATTAGTTTGTGTGAATGAAAGTGTTCTAAGGGTTCATAGTTTCAAAATATCTATCGCATTGTCTCATACTCTACGTTCTCACATATTGCTGATTCCTAATGACGAAATAAAATAATGTATTGAACATTATATACAATAGTTAATATACAAGCAGATTTAATTGATATTAATTGATAAAATTATTTATGATGAAAGAATACCCAAGTAAATTCAGTCAGAGGTCTGGAGTGCCTTAGTAGGTGTATTGTTCTGTTCCTATGCTGAAGAAACAATCGACGGATCTCGGAAAATCTCGCGTTGATTGTCCGCAATCTCTCATCTTTTATTGCCTCGACATGTTGTGTCTGATGTCCACCGGCTTTCCGGCTGTTCTCAATCCAATTTCCACGATTTCTACATTACCATAGATGTCGACTTAGGAATCCGAGCACGTCTTCGGTGAATCATAATCCGCTTTATCTTGTCTTTGCTAACAAAGGTAGGCGCGGTAAGGACTGAGGATTGTATTGGACTAGAGCAATAATCAGCAAAATGCACGTGGATGGAGCCTCGTGTTACAAATCAATCCCTTTTCTTTTTTTCTATCACAAACAAATCATGAATGACATCCGATATGCGACTTATTAAAAGGCGTGGTGCAGTCATATTTTCTTTAACATCGTGACCGTAGGTTTTGCAGCGACTTCTGACAAATTGATGATCGTCAACATGAGAACATTTCGATAAAAAACTTATAAAAATACCAGTTTAAACATAAAATGTTATTTAATTACAATCTGGGTGACGGATTATTTAGACGTCATTCTATTTATGTGTCGCCAAGGTGGCAGTCGTATTGATTATATATACATGACAATTAACGTCAGTGTAATTTCACAAAGCAAAAGAATAGTTTCAACGTTGTATGATATACTGCTTTGTGTCGTGTAATTACTAAGCATGAACTTAACCATAGTTTTCACAAGACGCATTTTGTACATGTACATATATTTCGCAATGTTTATTTTAACTTTTAAACTAAAACCCGTTAAAAAACAGTAAAATGCACTGCAACCGTAAGTCACCTCCAGTAGACTTTTTGCTGTGCTGAATCTAGCTATTGTACTAAGTATTTATCCAAGAGATAATCCCGGAGCCTCAAATTTATTTTGATAATGCAACTAATTTCTGTATAGAATAAGACCACCAGTTGGCTCCGTAGGGTTAGGGATGATCATTAAAGGAATCCTCTCTTCCTCCAAATTAAATTAACCCCCATCAATCCTCGATATGTTTATATCACCGCCCTTCACACGTGATTTCAATCAGAAATAAGAGATTATTCAGCATGTCTTAACACACGAAGCATTATGAGCGAGATAAACCCGGTAGATCTCATTTTGTTGCTAAGATTTTAAACAAAACATAGTCGTCAAGCTTAGCTTATTGCTAAATGATTAAACGATATGCAAGTATAAATAACGTTTCGTTGCATGGAAATTTCACCATTTGATAGATGCGCTAAATATCTCTCTGTGTAAGCCTCTCTTTTGTTCATATTTTACCCTAGTTTTATTGAGTCTGAGTTTAAGTTATGATTATGTTGACATGTTCGTAATTTCATGTTGTTTTTTGCCTTACGACTCAGAGTGACATGGGTGCACCACAGGAGCTTGGCACCGTTCCCTAAACCCGCGGCTTTGTACAATAAAAAGCACGGAGCGAAGGGTTGAGAATTTATGTCAAACTCTTTGGGTGTATTAAAGTACATTATAGTGTGAAGCTTTCCTTTGCTAGAACGACCTCATCAGATCCGAGATGTCTTTTCAGAGCAGATAGGAGTGAGTACACATTAAAGAATTATAAAAGCCGATCATATGACTTTATAAAATAACTGCATAAATATACAAATAAACACATACAGCGTATACTAGGTAAGCAACATGACCATGAAATACAGGACTTATACGAACTGACACAAATATAACAAATTAATTGGTTTTCTATTGATGTTTGATTTGTCAGTAAACTAAAAGCCTTTTACGTTTTCACTTATCAATCTGCAAGATGTCATTTTATAGAACGTACATTTTCCAGTTCTCCTTAGTAACCTACCTGCTTCTTTCACTATCCGCATACCAAGGATTTTTTTCAATAAAATGTATTCGTCTTAATTCCCGTACGGGTTTCAATTTTGCGAACTGATTTGTGCCACAGATGTGACGCACACATTTGGTCATCATAATAACGAGAGCTATTTTTCCCGTGTTAGCTGTCGCTACCTCTTCCTTTTCGCCTAGAGCTATAAGTCTGTGGTATTTTAGGGCTATCTTGTCGTAAACAGTCAGTGTCGTTGGGAGGCTGTCACAAAACCGTACTCCAGTACTGCACGACCAGTAATTCGTTACGTCGCTATAATAGGAGTTACACGTACTCTTGATTACGGCTGCTCATATCTGTTCATGTAGATTTTATCTAGGCACTGGATATTCGCCAAATGGACACCAGTATTAGTAAGCCAATGGCAACTCTTGAGTCGCGTTCTGCCAGATACTAGATTGATTAAAGCTGTACGTGGAGTGGTCCTACGAATGACCATCGAAACAGATATAGGTATTTTAGAGTAATATCTACTCATTGAGATGGGTCTGAATATTGTACAAAAAGTGAAAAATAACACATTTGGATACAAATGAGTCAAACAATGACTTTAACTAAATCACAGCTGTTTCGTCTATGTTTTACCATGTCCTAGTGGTCCTGTATACATGTTTAGTGTATACATTTGTTTGTCAAATTTACGAAATCCTAATGATCACGTGTATGCATGGGCATATCACACTTTTTTTTTATCCCTTTGCATTAAATCTATACGTTGGGACCTA